ACCCAGTGTTTTATTTATTTAAAGGTAACTACTGTAGGCTGCACTTTAGGTGGCACACCCATAGGTGCAGTGTAACCCAGTGTTTTCTTTAGTAAACGGTAACTGACATAGGCTGCACTTTAGGTGGCACACCCATAGGTGCAGTGTAACCCAGTGTTTTCTTTAGTAAACGGTAACTAACATAGGCTGCACTTTAGGTGGCACACCCATAGGTGCAGTGTAACCCAGTGTTTTCTTTAGTAAACAGTAACTAACATAGGCTGCTCTTTAGGTGGCACACCCATAGGTGCAGTGTAACCTAGTGTTTTATTTAGTAAAAGGTAATTAACATAGACTGTACTTTAGGTGGCATACCTATAGGTGCAGTGTAACCTAGTGTTTTATTTAGTTAAAGGTAATTAACATAGGCTGCACTTTAGGTGGCACACCCATGGGTGCAGTGTAGCCCAGTGTTGTATTTAGTAAAGGTAACTAACATAGGCTGCACTTTAGGTGGCACACCCATGGGTGCAGTGTAACCCAGTGTTTTATTTAGTTAAAGGTAACTACTGTAGGCTGCACTTTAGGTGGCACACCCATAGGTACAGTGTAACCCAGTGTTTTCTTTAGTAAACGGTAACTAACATAGGCTGCACTTTAGGTGGCACACCCATGGGTGCAGTGTAACCTAGTGTTTTATTTAGTTAAAGGTAACTAACATAGGCTGCACTTTAGGTGGCACACCCATGGGTGCAGTGTAACCCAGTGTCTTATTTAGTTAAAGGTAACTAACATAGGCTGCACTTTAGGTGGCACACCCATGGGTGCAGTGTAACCCATTGTTTTCTTTAGTTAAAGGAAACTTACTTTGGCTGCATTTAGGTGGTACACCCATAGGTGCAGTGTAACCCAGTGTCTTATTTAGTTAAAGGTAACTAACATAGGCAGCACTTTAGGTGGCACACCCATGGGTGCAGTGTAACCCAGTGTCTTATTTAGTTAAAGGTAACTAACATAGGCTGCACTTTAGGTGGCACACCCATGGGTACAGTGTAACCCATTGTTTTCTTTAGTTAAAGGAAACTTATTTTGGCTGCATTTAGGTGGTACACCCATAGGTGCAGTGTGACGCAGTGTTTTCTTTAGTTCACGGTAACTAACATAGGCTGCATTTTAGGTGGCACACCCATGGGTGCAGTGTAACCCAGTGTTTTATTTATTTAAAGGTAACTACTGTAGGCTGCACTTTAGGTGGCACACCCATAGGTGCAGTGTAACCCAGTGTTTTCTTTAGTTCACGGTAACTAACATAGGCTGCAATAATTGCAGCCTATGTTAGTTACTAAATTATTTAGGTGGCACACCCATGGGTGCAGTGTAACCCAGTGTTTTATTTAGTTAAAGGTAACTACTGTAGGCTGCACTTTTGGTGGCACACCCATAGGTGCAGTGTAACCCAGTGTTTTATTTAGTAAAAGGTAATTAACATAGACTGTACTTTAGGTGGCATACCTATAGGTGCAGTGTAACCTAGTGTTTTATTTAGTTAAAGGTAATTAACATAGGCTGCACTTTGGGTGGCACACCCATGGGTGCAGTGTAGCCCAATGTTGTATTTAGTAAAGGTAACTAACATAGGCTGCACTTTAGGCGGCACACCCATGGGTGCAGTGTAACCCAGTGTTTTATTTAGTTAAAGGTAACTACTGTAGGCTGCACTTTAGGTGGCACACCCATAGGTACAGTGTAACCCAGTGTTTTCTTTAGTAAACGGTAACTAACATAGGCTGCACTTTAGGTGGCACACCCATGGGTGCAGTGTAACCTAGTGTTTTATTTAGTTAAAGGTAACTAACATAGGCTGCACTTTAGGTGGCACACCCATGGGTGCAGTGTAACCCAGTGTCTTATTTAGTTAAAGGTAACTAACATAGGCTGCACTTTAAGTGGCACACCCATGGGTGCAGTGTAGCCCATTGTTTTCTTTAGTTAAAGGAAACTTACTTTGGCTGCATTTAGGTGGTACACCCATAGGTGCAGTGTAACCCAGTGTCTTATTTAGTTAAAGGTAACTAACATAGGCTGCACTTTAGGTGGCACACCCATGGGTGCAGTCTAACCCAGTGTCTTATTTAGTTAAAGGTAACTAACATAGGCTGCACTTTAGGTGGCACACCCATGGGTGCAGTGTAACCCATTGTTTTCTTTAGTTAAAGGAAACTTACTTTGGCTGCATTTAGGTGGTACACCCATAGGTGCAGTGTAACGCAGTGTTTTCTTTAGTTCACGGTAACTAACATAGGCTGCATTTTAGGTGGCACACCCATGGGTGCAGTGTAACCCAGTGTTTTATTTATTTAAAGGTAACTACTGTAGGCTGCACTTTAGGTGGCACACCCATAGGTGCAGTGTAACCCAGTGTTTTCTTTAGTAAACGGTAACTGACATAGGCTGCACTTTAGGTGGCACACCCATAGGTGCAGTGTAACCCAGTGTTTTCTTTAGTAAACGGTAACTAACATAGGCTGCACTTTAGGTGGCACACCCATAGGTGCAGTGTAACCCAGTGTTTTCTTTAGTAAACAGTAACTAACATAGGCTGCTCTTTAGGTGGCACACCCATGGGTGCAGTGTAACCTAGTGTTTTATTTAGTAAAAGGTAATTAACATAGACTGTACTTTAGGTGGCATACCTATAGGTGCAGTGTAACCTAGTGTTTTATTTAGTTAAAGGTAATTAACATAGGCTGCACTTTAGGTGGCACACCCATGGGTGCAGTGTAGCCCAGTTTTGTATTTAGTAAAGGTAACTAACATAGGCTGCACTTTAGGTGGCACACCCATGGGTGCAGTGTAACCCAGTGTTTTATTTAGTTAAAGGTAACTACTGTAGGCTGCACTTTAGGTGGCACACCCATAGGTACAGTGTAACCCAGTGTTTTCTTTAGTAAACGGTAACTAACATAGGCTGCACTTTAGGTGGCACACCCATGGGTGCAGTGTAACCTAGTGTTTTATTTAGTTAAAGGTAACTAACATAGGCTGCACTTTAGGTGGCACACCCATGGGTGCAGTATAACCTAGTGTTTTTTATTTAGTTAAAGGTAATTAGCATAGGCTGCACTTTAGGTGGCATACCCATGGGTGCAGTGTAGCCCATTGCTGTATTTAGTAAAGGTATTTTCCTTTGGCTGCACTTTAGGTGGCACACCCATGAGTGCTGTGTAACCTAGTGTCTTATTTAGTTAAAGGTAATTAACATAGGCTGTACTTTTATTGGGTTTCTGTTTCTTTTAATTTTTATTTCAAAAAAATTGACTTTCATCTACGAGACTTTACTCTCAACTCCCACAATTGATTAACATGAAACTTCTTCCTATAATATTCATACATCATGTAGTGAACAGGTAATAAAAATACTCAAACTTATCAGGTAGAGATTTTTATCTAACATCAAATTAAAATTTAAAATTGGTCATTATTGATGAACAGCCTTACTTCTCTTCCGGTTTGACTGAAACCTTAACAGTTACTTGTTGTTTCTCTTTTAGTGTCCTGTGAGTGACCTACTTTCAGACGAAATCCTACTGTGGTCTAATCAAAGTGCAGCTTTGCCGATGCGGGAAAGAATGACAAATATCATTCTAGGATTCGGAAATATTCTTAGTTCCGATTAGGTTGCTTAAATGTAAATAGTTCAGGGTGAATCTTCTTTTTAATTTCTGAAGCATAATGACATTATAAGAGACGCTCTTTGCTAATGGAAGACTGCGACGCTTTACGACGGTTTCGCTCCTTGTCAAATTTCGCTACGTTCGAGTTCGCTACCTACAATTCGTGTCGCTACTTATTAGCAAAGTCCTGCCCTAGGGGAAAGCTTTAACGAATGAGAAATACACTAAAAGACTTTTGTTCTAAATCGACCAAGTGGTTTACAGAAAGTAATCTTTAGCGAAGTTGTTGCGAACCAGGCGGTAGCAAATTCGACAAGTAGCGAAACCGGTTGTTACCGTTGCGACGAGTTGCAAACAGGCAGCGTGCTTTGCTGACTAATATTCCAAGATTTAAGTTATTTTTTCTTGTTGATTTGGTTGTTTCGATATAAGTTGTTTTCATACAAACTTAAGCAGTGAAAGTCAAACTACACAACAATTTCAACTAAGTAGTACACTACGCGAAACCAATAGCTCGACTTATACCGTAACCGGTGTGAGCATTTTGTAATGTACATTTTTTTTAACATAAACGTAAGGCATCACGGTCGTTGATTTAGGAACTTGGAGCGAACGAATTTATCAATCGAACGCAGTACATTCAGAATACCCGGCCACATGTCGAAACGCTTTTAGAACAAAGCATACACAAAGAATTGCCTTTTGTTATTCAATGAGATGCAAACGAGTGGCAGGGTGTTCAGTAATCTAGCCGAATTATAAGAGCAGAGTAAAAATTTCCAGTTATTATTCAATATTTATTGATCATAAACGTCGAGTATGCATCCTTGCTTTAGGAACCTTAATAGCAAAGAAGAATAGAGTGTAACTGTGTACAATAAACCCCAATAACAAAGCGAGGATCTTAGAGTCCCTGTATATATATAACGTAACAATGATTTTATAGAAATCAGAAATTCAAACGCAAAGCGAACGCAAAATCTCTTTCAAATACCTTGCACCTACTTGTTCAGCTTTTGAAATATTGAAAAGAATCTGTAACTAGATATGTGAAGTCTTCCTCTAAAAAAAATACAATTATTATTAAATATTTATTGATCATAAACGTCTATGCGTCCTTGCTCTAGGAACGTTAATAGTAAATAAAAACGGTATGTAACAGTGTACAGTATACCCTTGTAACGAAGCGATGGATCTTAAGAGTCCCTATATGTATACCACGCAACGATGATTAAAGAAATTAGAAATTCGAACGCAAAACGAACGCAACATCTCTTTCAAATGCGTTGCACTTACTTGTTCAGCCTTTGAAAGATTGAAATGAATGTAACTATAATGAAGTCTTCCTCACAAAAAGCGAAAAGTAAGTTTGCCGTACTCTGAGCAACGTGAGTAGAGACTCGGCCACCATATCAGTTCTAATTCCCTTGTACAGCGTCCTTCACCTGGACCAATATCTAGGTACGAGCGGCTTGTCGGTCTTGAGTCCTGCTTTCTGGCTCTCGCTTTTGCATAAGCTAGTGCTTCTTCTGCTGACATTTCGGAGATATCAGGCACTTCATCGCTATTTCTGAATAAGGCTTTTGGCCGAAATTGCAGCAGGTCTTGCTCTTCCAACACTAGCTTCAAGGTTTCCTCATTGAAAATTTTATATGAAAAGCGCCGCGCTATTCTCTTGAAAATCGGCTGACGGATATGGGGAGCATCGCGTACGCTGTCTACCATAGGGTTTCCCAAACGACAGAGTAAATGAGCGAAGTACTTCTGTGGCACTTGAAGGCAATCAACATGGCACCATTTTCCTTTCGATGAAAATAAAGTTAGGTGTAAGTAAGTGTGTAAGTCCAAGCACACCAAAATAAAGAACACATTGCGGGTTAGAGCATTTACCTGGGTGATCCGGTACCAGTGATCCGTTGATTCGCTCCACAAGAACCCCAAGCCATTTGAGATAATCTTCCATTTCTTTGTCAATAAGTGCTACTGCTTTTGGCTGTTCACATGGACTGTTTGATTCGTCCAAAAATTGCGCGATCTCGAGATTCCTTTCCTGGTGTTTCAATCCGAAATGTTTTCTCAGTGAAACACCTGTTTTAAACTTCTTTGTACACAGTTGACAGGGAGCTGAATAAGGCATTTTTTTCTCGCAAGGTCAAAACAGTGCCGAAAGTCGGCAGTCGGAAGTCAATGAACTTTCTCACTTCTACGAGTTTTCGTTAGTTATACAATTTGAAACAATGCTCTCAGTCAATGACGCGTGACTCGCAAGCTTGAAAAATTCCGCTATTGTCGCAAACAATAGGTCCCTTAAGGTCACGTAAGCTGGGTCATAAACTATTTCTTGTAGCAGAATCATGGGGAAGAAGTTGTCCTTCATTTTAAAATCGCTGAAATTGTGGTAACTAAACCTTGAATGAAACTATTGTAGGAAGATTCATTACTTGACGAGGGAATTCCGCATTTAATTGCACGCGAAAAGCGATACGCGAAGCGATGAGTGCGATATCAGTTTTTAAGTGCAATTTAACGCGGAATTCACGAGCCAAGTAATGGATTTTCTTTGAATCACATATTTAAATAAAAACAAGATAAAAAGAAAACAGCATTACTTATATTTGTTATGTATTCGTGGATGCGAAACAATATCACTTAGCCCCGCTAAACAACTCCCCTCGTCAACCAATCAGAAGGCGAGATTTTATGCAATGATGCGATTCTATCTGATATTAGGTCTGCTGACTTGGAAAATACTACACCTAAAATTTAACATCAGCAATCTTACGAGAGAAAGCATAAAGGCTAGGTCTCTCTGACGGCTTATCTCTGGTTGACATTTTAACCAATTCTCGGACCCTTTCATAAAAACCCAACAAAGACGATATTGCCTTAAGCATTCTTCCTAATGAAAAAATGTCACTGGCAACGCTATAGAGTCGTTCACTAACAACCTCAGGGGCTAAATAGCTTTTCCCTTTGCATTTCATAACGGTGCCGTTTCTGCGGTACAACGTAACAGATGAAACCTTAAGGCTCTATCCAAAGTCAATAAGAACTGGGCTGAATTCCCCAGAGGCTGAGGGCCGTTCTAGTACAACATTGTTTCCTTTGATGTCGTTATGAAGGTATCCTTTAGAGTGCACGTGGTCTAAAACACTGCATATCTTTTTAAATATAGAAATACAGTTTGCTTTAGTAACTGCGTTGTTATCGGCCGCTTGATGGAGAGTTACACTTTCTTGCTGAAAACCATGAAATTGAGTCACAAGGCATAATGGTGAGGCCTTCGTAACAACACCAAAAATCATGGGTAGATGTGGATGGTCCCCCAAAGCAGAAACGACCTTTGCTTCGTGGAGTAAATCTCTCCTTGCTCGTTCTTCATCCTCTGACGTTTCGTTGTGAGTCATTTGCTTGACAATAACGTCGATGCCTCGATAGCGCCCGAGAAAACACTGTCCAAAGCTTCCACTCCCAACTGGATTTTTAGACAAGTATTCAATGTTTTCTGGCCTGAGTTCTTTGGGTTCAAATCTGGATCCATTGCTCGCTGTTTTTTTTTCCAATTAAAAAGGTTTGATGACGTTTCCCACGAGGTTTCTGCGAGACAACTGCGTCGGCACCAACAGCCATTTGAATCATCTTAGCAGCTCTTGAACAACCACCCAAGGCCTCTTTCTTCTCTTCACTGCCTGGTTTAAGCGCGAGGATATGGGGTTTCTTGACATTTTGTGGCTCAAAATGTTGGTTCGAAGGAGGCAGTTTCGTTTCCTTAGCCTCAGAAGTACAAGGCACCAACTCATTCGCTTCGCGGTTGAGTGATTGTAGTTCAACATTTTTATTCGTTGAATTCGGCATTTGCTTCCCTTGTTTCCTCTTTCTCCATTCTTTTCTCTGTCTGTTTCTTTCTTCTGGAGTATTTTTTCGTGATTTAATAACTCGCTCTTTTCGTTCTTCTTCATCTTCAAAACCCTTCACAAATTCCGCCATCATTATGTAGCTAATTGATCTATTTCCGAAACACAAATGAGCTCGTGATCGGTGTAAAAGTATAAAACAAAGGCTTGTTGATGTGCAGGAAATTCGATGCTCGTTTTGATGAACTTGATGATATGTGAAAGCCCGAGTTGCTCTTCAATCGTTTCTGGTTTGCTTTCATTACGCGACATTCTTCTGTCAGAAGAGTGTCGGGAAAAACACCTCGCAAGGATCGTACGTGACAACACCCTCCACGCCTCGACTAACGCTAAAAAAGCTCCATACAATTCCTTATAATTTTATTATAAGGAATTGTATGGAGCTCTCCGGGATACTTACAGTGCAAGCCCTGTGTGTCTTCTCATGAGGCTGAGATAAAGCAAAACGAACCATAACCATTCCATCGTAATTCTTAAGACAAATCGTTGTTGTGCGCATTCGAGCGAGAAGTGCAATGTCTACTATGCAACATAATCAGACACAGGCTAATCCTTAGTCCCCTTCCGCTGAGCTCATTTGCTTCGTTTCCATGGTGATTTAGTGTGTACCATACTAAATTTCATAATTCGCTAGCTACTGGAAACGAAAAAGCTCACTGCAGTATCGTGTGATCAAAGATGACTTCCTTTCCTAACAACTAATCAGCTTTAAAATTTGTCATATTTGAATCAATTACAGTCTTTCCTTTGTTTGCCTCTTGTTTTCAATTAAGTTGCCGTGCAATTTTAAATGATGTTTTAATAAAAAATTCGGTGATCCCTCTCTTAACTTGAAAAGTTGAGTTATGGCTCTTAAATACTGATTACAAACGCATTCGCTGGATTAAAAATTTACTTGCAATATGCAGGTAGTGAGGAGTACATTTACGCATCTTCTCGGTTTTTCTACATATACTTCACGCGTAAATATCCTGTAGATATAGGCATTTATTCGTTAAATAATATATGAATGTACAGTTTTTCCCCATTTCTATTAATATCTTCACTTCTCGAGTCAATGACTTTAAATGGTAATTACTGGTCACCAATGGAATCCTTCCTCACTCCCTGACCAAGAAAATTTAGTGAACGATGTTCACGTCCAGAGCTTAATCTCAGGAATTCGACTCTTGAGAGGCGGGAACCCATATCGTAGTTGCAGCTCCAGTTCAAGTACTGGTTTAGACAAAAGCAACGTTTCCGAGTAGTCACTCCGTTTTCAAGGCGACGTTAAAATGTAGGGAAAAGTGATGGGAAACTCGATTACTTCAATGTGTTGTATTTTTTTTCGACTAATGGTAGGACACCTGAAGCTTAAGTAGATTTTGAACTATTACCACTCACGTGTCTGCACCTTAAACCAAAGGTGCAAACGACATCAATTTTTCCGTCTTCTTTTTGCGTTCGACAAAGGAGATATAATATAGACTTAAGTGCGTAATTTCATGGGACTTACGGAGGATACCAAGAGGGTATGAATTGTTTAATCTCTGACGAATACTAGCAGCGTCAAAACCGAATGACATCATCACAAAGCCAAGTGCGGTCTGGCGAAAGGGAGAGAGTGTTTGAATTCGATACGAACTCGATAAGTTACACAGTGCAGTGATAAGTGGTAAATTTTGCCTTTTAATATGTTGACTTATAAATAATGGGGTTATCTCTTACAGAAGTATGTTCGACTCCCGTTGTTAAACTGCAGTTTGGGGCTTTGATCTTCGACAAAAAAAACTATAGCTGTGTCATCAAAACGGATGAATGTGAACTCCTACGAAATAATTTTACTCTCATGTCCATGTTTTTACTTAGCCCATTAAGTTGCACAGTTTGATTTGTGTTCAGAAAACTAGGTCATCGAGATCACCTTGCTGTGTAACTCGGAAATTGGCCCTGACTCGTCCTCAGAAAACTAACACGCGGAGTCATGTAAGTGGCAGATTTTTTTGGAAGACAACTGCATCAAATTGCCTTCACTTCACCCTGGTCTTGTCAAACATGGTTCAAATTTATTGTTCCACTGATACTATTGCAACATTTCTATGTACTTTACTGGAAATAGAAGACTGTTTTAGAGTACAAATGTATTAATTTACCTCCATTTCCCTTTTCTCTTTTGTTCCGGTACTCCCGGCCTTCTCACTAAAAATATCTCATCGAACGTGCTTTACTATTCTTTGATTGCCATTGGCTTTTAGCCTGTTTATATTTTTCTTTGCCTAGGAACTACATCTGTGTTAAGGTTCGTTAGATTTAGCTCAATCGCTATGCCGAACACTCCTCTGTAAAACTGGTTGGTTGCACATTTTCATACAACAGCCCTTCCAAGTTGACATAGTCCTAAGAAGAATAGAAAGCGACCATTTAAAACAAATACAAGAAAAATAACTAGATGAGAAGCCACGATATTGTCAAATTATAATCATAATGGCTTTGAGAGAGCAGAAAATTGATTGTAATTTAAACGTAAGGATCTGACGAGATATCTCACACATCGATGGACCAAGGCTCTTTAATCAAATATTTCAGTCCTGACCTGTTCTTCATCCCTGGTCATGCTGTGTATTCGTGACCGTAGACACTCAAAGTCTGGTCTCTTTAAGGGATCAGTCTTTCAGCATTCCATCATGATTTTGAACCTGTTTGAAAGAAAAATAATAATAATAATGATAATAATAAGAGTTTATTGTGCATATACACTTAGCTAACTTAGCTTATGATGTCCTTTCGATCCTCCGCATATTTTTCATATAAAGATTTTCCTTAATGGATTTGTTTCAACGTATAGTACACATATGCAATATATAGGCGTACATCTTGTTACAGCGTGGCTTAATAAGACTAAAGCCCCCAAACTTTTCACAAACCAGCACAAGGCGGGTATATAATCGATACAGCGAGGCAGGTATATACTTCCATTTGCTTTAGATTCTTTTTGGTTTCTGGCCCCATCAGCCGAGCTTCCTCAAACGTGCTTTCATAGACAGGTACTTAAAAATGAGCACGTAACAGGGAAAGGTCGTCATATAACATGCTCAAACTAGACAGAATATCAATGTTGTCTCTCATTACATAACAACATTAGATGGCAAAACTGCCGATAATTTCGAATCAAGGAGTAACATTTCCCTTTTAAACCAGGGTTTGTCACAACTTTTCTATCCGCTGTCCCAGCTTTCAAATGTCAAAGTGTATCGATCGATCGTGTCTCGCTTGGCTCGTTCTTGACTTAAATAATAATCTCTGTATAAGCACTCGGCTAGAGTGTAATAGAGAACAAAGCAAAGGAAATTTGAGCATCATTGCTTTTGTTGCCTAAAAATCGTGACTGTCTACTTAACGATAATATTTACTTACAGTTTTGCACTGACAAATTTTGGGCGCGGCATCCTGTACTCGTTCTTCAACATGGCTGGGATATCTCTCATATACACCCCTGGAAACGGGTCACCACCTATTAAGTGTTAAAAGAAAATTTAAAAAGTTATTAAATGGAAACTAGGAATCGTGTAATCCTTATTAGAAAAAGAGTACCTAAAACATCATAGTGAATCTTAAGAAGCGTTATTCGACTGACGACGTGCACAGACAATAGTATGTGAAAACCCCATGACAGAAACAAGCGTTGTTTACTGAATACGGAATGTCAGGAAGGAGTTTCCTTTGAGAGCAATTTTGGGATCCCAGGACCTTATCGCTGTATTTCTTCGTTTTTTTTGTTTTTTTTTCTGTTATTATCTCTTTTGTTTTTTTGCCTGGTCGCTAACAACTTCACATAACGAGTGCGTCTTAAGGAAATACTTGAAAATCACAGAGCCGCTTGCATCTATGCATTTAGTAAGAGCATTTTTTCAGCTCAAATTTTAACTCACCGACAGTGAAGATCTCGTACATGACCACACCAAAGCTCCACCTAAATTTATATAATAGTAAAAACGCGAGCCTATTCAAATGTTTTGCTTCATTTGAATGATAAAAACACTTTGTTTGCTGAAGTTAACACTGATCAGTTAAAAACTTATAAAATTATGGCCTTCCAGTTTAAACAAATTGAAAATAAACATTAATCAGATAAAAGGTTCGGAAAAATTGAAGATGGCTTAGAACGCAATTTTGTGAAAGAACGGCTCTGGTTTAAATTACCGGCCCATAATGTTTAAGAGCCCCAACTGGCAGGAGGCCAATTTAACTGGAGGGGGGCAACAAAGACGAAATCCAGTGAGAAGCAGGATGGAGAGCTTGAACCTGGGAACAGTGCCTTAGCTTTACCCTTTAACTCTCATGAGTGATCGAGACACAATTTCTCCTTACAATATCGCAATACTAGCAGACAAGTCACGAGAATAAAGAAAATTATCAATAAAGGGATTTTTATTTGATCCAATGCCAGATTCTCCAAAGTAACATCATAAGAATTGAATGACAAAGATTAAGGGGAATTTCTGATGAGATCTTGGAAGTAAGTGGGTTAACGAAGCTTAGCCAGTCAGTTAAATGACAATATCAAGTCCTTTCAGTTGTCCATTCTTGTTTTGGAAAAGTATATTTCCGGAGCTGAACATCAGAAGCTGATAAAAGCGGTTTGAAAGAGAACTAAGAGAAAATTGCATTGAATATAATTTCGTTGATCTCAATGAAACGAGCCAAAACTAGTCAACCAAAATTATTTGATAACACAAAATGTAAAACAGAAACAAAAAAAGGGGTTGATTCTCTTATCGTTTTACTTCTTAACTGAGATTCCCACAATCCAGACCATCGTCCCGTGTTCAAACGCAAAATATGAAAGAATTGATCCATGCTTAGCGTGCGTATATCGAGTTCTGGATGCACGCTGGAAGTTTGGAGCGCACGAGAGAAGCGTAATTCTAACTTCCCGCGTGCAACCATAACTCGATATACGCAAAGCTGAAGCATGAACCAATTCTTTCATAAAATGGTATGCAGACACAAATCGCACTCCAAATAAAAGAGACCTCACTACAACTGTATTGGGTCCACCAGGTAACTGTCAGCTGTTCTAACCAAAAACTATGGACACATTACCCGGCAAAAACGACCGAGAAATATTTACTCAAATAATTGTAAATTTTCTGCTCAGAAGGCGAAAAACGAACGAAATTCTTACAAGCGCGATATCGCGCATAAGATTCAGCATGCTTGAATCGTTGTTTACCAGAATTCACGGCCATAAAATTGTGTAGGTTTGTGTTGAAAATTTTGAAAATTTTAAAATTGCACGGTTCTAAAATAGTAAATATTCTATTGGAAAATACTTTTAAGAAAGATCGACACATATAAATATATCAATCGTTCAAAAATCGAAACGAAAAACTTTCAAAACTTCTTGCATTTACGAGACCCGGGTGGAAGATTTACCTGCTTTAATGGTTGTTTACCTGAATTTATGATCAGAAAATTGCGTAGCTTTGTGTGGAAAATTCTGAACTCCTTCAAAACAAAATCTTCTTTTAAACAACACTTTTGGGACACATCAAAACTTCAAAATAATATTTACCGTTCTAATGCAGAGTCCTTCACGTCGCAAAGGTTCAGTTTAAGTCACAAAACCCAGTTTTATTTTCTGTCATAAATCTCATCGCGTTTAAGAATTAAGTTTCGTCAACTCAGAAAGTAATTTCGTCGCTTGAAACAGCGACATGTTAATCTTTTTTCGAAACGAGTACTATTTAGCATATTTTCTTTCCATTTTGAGCTTCCTAAGGTCTATCTCAATCGGGATAGAACAGAAAAAAAGTCTTGAAAATTTGGAACTTCGCTGCTAAACTGAACGGGAAGTTTCAGCCGAAGTAAAACCAAACATGTCATCTTATGGGTGCATGGCCATTGCGAAATTAAGAATTTTTACCAAGGTGGCTTTTTAGCAATTTGATAGAACTTGCACGCACGCTGCTATGATTTTGATTATTTCAGGGAATTTCACAATATGTTCTCGTGATATTTGGGCGAATGTTTATGTACAAAACAAACTCACACGTCACTCTGTGTCGTATATGCACCACTTCCAAATAGAGCCTCGGGAGCCGTCCATTTAATAGGAAGACGGCCCTAAAACCAAAGATCACAATAACATAATCATGAGTGAGTTTAAACACTTTCTCTCCATATTGTATTTCGAAACTGAAAGTTATCGTTTATGTTATATTAAATTGCCCTATCGCAAACGTGCACACTTTGCAAATGATGAGCAGGTTAATTTCACGTAGGCTGTTTAGTAACTTCTAACAACTGTGCTTTTTTTTAACAAGTACACTCTTTTAAATCAATCGGCTCAGATACAAGTTATTTCCAAATATGTTGTGAAGAATTACCTCGTGGGTTCGAACATATATATCCTCTTCCCAAACATCTCTGGCCATTCCAAAATCTGTGATTTTGCAAACGTCTTCGTCACCAACCAAAACATTTCTCGCGGCTAAGTCGCGATGAATGATCTAGTGACGAAATATAGCTATAAATTGAATTTCGAACTACTTGGGTTAACATAGATATTCGTATCTATACTTCTGTCCTGATACTTACAAAAATCAACATTAGAATAGTAATAATTATAACGTATTTATCTGAAGGGCCTTAATGTCCCAGAGTTAGCAAGATTGGTAAGGGTAATGAAATCTTGGAACACACAGACTTCTCCAACACATCCTGTGAGCAAAGTAGCAGCGAGTTAGTCGCAGATTAAATTTTTGAATTGTTGTAACAATGCTCTCTAGCTATCATATGGAAACACAACAGGTGACTTTATAACCTTTTTCTTCGACAAGTAGTCCATTCCATCACTGATCTGCCAAGCAAACCGAAGCAGTTGCTTAGAAGTGAGGCTGGTGCGGGGCTCTACCGAGGGATCACTGTAGTAGTTATCTCGAACTCCTCGGCTCTTCCTCAGGTACCCAAGCAAGTCACCATACTGTGCATACTCGACAACTACGAGTGGCCGGGCTGAAATACGAGAAATTTCAACTTTACCTATAAGTGGCCTTCAATTAACAACATATTCTGGTTATCAGCTATTTCTCGATTTATTCATTAGACACTTGAGTTAGCTGATCATGTACATGACTGACTGGATTTCCTATAGAAGTCTTTAACAAGTGTCGCAAAGTAAATTATAAAGATGATGTTGATTATATAGTCCGTTTGTCCAAATGAATTTTCTCCTATGCGTTTACAACACTCTTCAGAGGACTTTGGTTAGACTCAAGAGCTTCTTTATCGGCTGTACGAGCTGTAAGCAACTTTGCAGGCCCCCTTATCTAAGAATATTTGGAAACAAGGCCTTTCCACAATGTAATTAACACACAGTAGTTCAAGATGTGCTGAGATCATTGCATAATCTCAGCACACCAAGTTACAAACTGTAACTGACGCATATACATGCAAGGACGACGTAACAATGAAACAAGACTCGTGCACCCCGGCAACACTTCCACAGATGACATTGACAGCAAAGATGCCACTACCTCAAGCTCACCTTCAGTAGTAACACAGCCGTAAAGGCGGATGACGTGAGGATGGGGATCTAGGTGTTTAAGGAGTGACATCTCTGACAACAGGTCTGACTTCTCTTTTTCTGAAGCATCATCTTTGTAAATACCAACAAACCAAAATTCCATTTAAATCAGGATTTAAGCAACATTAAAATGACCAATTCTATAAAATCTAACTTCTCTCCAGCGCCACACTGATCATTTCATCAAATGTTTACGACATTGCTCGGATCAAAGCTTGATGGTTTTAAGTGTACATGTATTTCTTGTATTAGAGTCTTTTTTTATAAGTTCCCAAGTGTACAAAAGGTCTTTTTTTAGTGAAAAATAAGGGGAAATGTAACCTTGAACGCTCTTCACTGCTACCACAGTCCATCCTGGTTTTCCCGGCAAATCAAACGCTAAGCCTCGTGACACCACGCCAAATGCGCCACGCCCAATAACCTTCTCCACATTCAGCCTTGCTCGCGGTATTTCCCATCCAGGGTCACCCGATGAGGATACGCTGCAAGCTCCATTTGGAAAAATCTCGTTGCATGTGGCTTGCGATCTCAAGGACACCCTGGTAACAGATAACGTCAGAGCTTAGGCTATACTCAGCCATATTGGTGGGGGAAGGGGGAGAGTGAGGAGTGGCAAAGATGACGGGAAAAATAAATGGAGTTAGACACAAACGGCACTAGAAAAACATTCGGCTAAAGTGAATTAGTCTGTGTTGTTAGTTATTATTTTTAAAAGTATTCATTCTGCGAAAACCTCTCGCCTCCTGTTTGATAGGGAGTGATAATTCATTCAGGAATTAATAAATACATACATTTGGAGCTCATCGGCTTCTTCACCTGAAATGGCAAAATTAATTCACGTTACTCACAGCATCATTAATTAAAAGTGTATAAAACTATAAGACAATGTATGTCAAAATCATTTATAAGGTTAGTTTTTAACCAGATATTTACTCACGTGTTCGCTGATTTGTCTGTCCTCTGGATCTCTTAGCCACATATCGTTGGATGAAGAGAGCAAAGATCGCGATCACCGCTAAGCCCGCTGTTATAGACAGGTACTTGGTGAGTGACTCTTTGCCATCTGTTTTCGAGAGAGTAGTTCTTCTAAATCACTTATAATCTAATTTAATCGGCAATTAAGGACATTGAAAATACAGGTTCTAACAAAACCCAAGGAAACTTAGAAAACTGAAATATTTCTTTACTCCCTAAAATTTGGAATTTTCTCTCAGTTAGCACAGTCTGCCCTATGAAATGGCCCGAAAGTTGATCCAATGCGTCTTCCCGCCAGAAAAAAACTGGAATTTTTCATCACAAGGCATATCTCCTTGATGTAAAACGATGTTATGTATTGCTTTGTCGTGCATAATATAACGACGGAAAATTCCAAATTATAATTTCTGAAGGGCTCAACGATATAATCTAAATAACGTTCAAGCTCGTGCGAAAATGTTCACATATAGGCGGTCAAATTGAGCGCGCAGTATGCAGAATTTAAGCTAAGTAACTGTTTTCAAAATAATTCCGAATGCTAGAGAGTAATATTCATGAACTTTTCTCCTGAGGAACTAACCTGCATTGACATTTTTGGGGGCACTTGTTTCAGGTTCTTCGTGTAACTTTGGGTGTTTTCTGATACCTGTGGGATATTTCACGATTTATCATGGTTTTGACCAGTAAAAGACACGATTATCAACTAGGCTCAGTCATAATAATTACAGTCCACTTTCTAAGCGTTAATTCCGTGCGCATGCATACTATGTTTCTCGTTATTTGTGGATTCGTGTAACTAACCGAGTTACTATCTGCATAATGGATCTTTGAGGTCTCCTGGGTTGCAAGGCTTTGGTAACTGTTCTAACTCAAAATAGATATCGTGACCAGGCTGTTATTATACTTACCCTTTTCGTGCAACGTGAACGTCACCGAGTCATTCGCTATCTTATTGGTTGCTAGACATATGTAACTTGTAAAGTCTCTTCATTTATGGGAGTGACTATCAAGGAACTTGAGTTTGAGGTATGTGAAAAACCTTGCGTAATCTCTCCATCGTGCGTGTACCAAGTGAAAGTCGGGGAAGGATTTGCATTGGCTGCACATTTAAGCCTGGTTGAATTTCCTCTTGTTAACTCCAAAGCCACTTTTTTATTAGGGTTGATTATTTTCGGTGCATCTGAAAGAAGGCAAACTGTTTAGACAAAAATTTACACAAGGGTAAACACTTCTCGGGCTTAATCGGTTCTTCTATGGCCTAGTGTGAAATTTTTGCATCAAAAAGTTCCCGGTATGTGTATGTGCATTAATTTTATGGAAAAATCTATGGATGGATAGCGGGATTCTCTTGTTAGAAAATAGAGGCTTCATTTTAAACTAGCAACTGATGAGTTGGGCACACTTCAAAATACTCACATAGAACATCAACAGCAGTAAAAGACGGGCTGTGATCTCCGAATTGGGACATTGAAACACACATATAGCTTCCAGCTTGTGATTTATTTATACTTTGAATGAAGAGGAATCTGTTTCGTCCTTTCTTGATGAGTCGGTTGTCTTTCAGCCACATGACAGATGTACTTTCCGTCCTCATTCTGGCACAGCAAGTGATGTTCAGTGGTTCTCCTTCCTTGATCTCGAGGGTTATATTTTCAGGTTCTGAATGACAAAGAATGGTTATGATCTCCAGCGTCTGCATCAGACACGGTTGCACCATTTCTATCATTAGGAACATCTATAACCCCTTCTAAACTTATGTCAGGCTAACTCCTCACAAAAAGGCTCGCTAACTCAACCTGCGCGTCAATCAACTGACTCCATCACCGACATTTACAGTCGTGATTTTAGCATTTTCAGGACAGCCTGTCTAATAACAATTACATTTCTCGACAAAAAAAAATTATAAGCATTGAACATCGAACGGTTAACGGTTAACGGTTAACGGTTAACGGTTAACGGTTAACGGTTAACGGTTAACGGTTAACGGTTAACGGTTAACGGTTAACGGTTAACGGTTAACGGTTAACGGTTAACGGTTATCTATGTATTCTAAGGAAAAGGAGAAAAGAGAGGGATTACCTGGTGGTCTCGTTGGTGATGGAGGTGGATCCTGTGAGGGCAGAAATGTTGTTCTTTAGTCTAATTACAAGACTTCACAAAGTGGCTCTCCGCCTGTGAAAACTCTAAAAAACATAGCATTGAAGCAAACCTGGGAAAACTCGTACACTTCACAACCATTCACCACTGCTAGTGGTGGAAATTAACCTTGCCGCTTTGCAGCTCGGTAAATATCCATCGCAAGCCACCGACACTGAGGTGAGTATTTGCTTTAGTATGTACTAAAACATTGAGACAGTATGGCACAGAAAAAATTCTAAATCGATTATTCCTACAACGATTCCTGCTGCAATTCCTGCGCGCGTTGCTTGGAGGAAAAAGTTATCAATAATCACGATAGAGGAGATGAAAAGTGGTAGATATTTACCGAGTCACGAAGCAGTGAGGTAAATATTCACTTCTTTCACCGACTCTGAGGTAAATAATGTTTTAAAATTGGCTCTCCGGCTGCTCGGAAGTGAATAATACATGCTATTCACTTCCGAAACAGCCAATCAGACACTTTCACCGACACTGAGGTAAATAATTTTTTAGCATATACCTCACAGATGCCAAAAAAAAACTATATAAACACTTGAAGAGTAATTTTGTCTCCTCGGCTGCTCGGAAGTGAATAATATATGCTATTCACTTCTGAAACAGCCAATCAGCTCAATTCACTCGATTAGCAATTTTTCCACAAGCGCGCTGGATATGAGACGTTAAATAGCCAACAAGGCGCATTGCGTCGAGTTGTCTGTAGCCAATCTCGTATCCAACAAGCGCGAATGGAAAAATTGTTTGCGTTACAAAGAGATTTTTGATGAAACAGACATCATTAATAATGTAAAAGAAGTGACTGCGCAAAGCTTATAGCTCGCGCGTTTTACCTGACAAAGTTCTTCTCTTCCAGTTTATCTAATGCGCAAATGACCATTTCTCGAACTGTGGAGTACTCTTTTAGAAAGTTACAGATTTTTTGGAAAAGAAATTATTTCTTACCTGAACGAATAGTGTAAACCCACTTTCTTTTAAATGACGGCAACGATCAATGCAGAACCTGATCCCATAATCGGAAGAATCTTTTAATTGAACGTTCAGAAGTTGGAAAGCCACAAAGCCACGGGCCAAGTCTCCCACCCACTGTAAACGCCTTGTGATTAAGGTCTCTGTATATTTTTTCACTGATTCGCTTCCATTTGATTCTCGAATAACTGTTACCCAGTGGTAACCTGAAATACTTTCTCTTTCTTTACTCCAGTGAGCAAAGATGACTGTCGGTTGCTTTGATTTCTCCTCCAAAGTGAGGTTAAAATTCCAAGTAAATGTTTGGTTGGATCCAGTGAAGGAAATTGTCGTTTCATTTGGTTCAGTGATTATTTCTAAGCCACTTATTTCATTCCAACCTAAAACACCAATTAATCAAGTTTTTCATGCACTTGGAAGAACCCTTCGCCAAACGAAACAACAAAAACAACAAAAACAACAAAACAACAAAAACAAAAGCTGAGGGAAAAAGCAGGGATAAAGAGGGAAATATGAACCCGAAAAAGTTCAAAAAGTGGTAAAAGTTCTGTAAACTTAAAAGCATTCACTCAGAATGATGACACCTGAATGCTTTGTGGTTCTACCTTTAAATATGCTCCATCCTGATTGATAATCGCAAGAGAGCAGAATATTGGGCCAATATCTGCTCTCTTACGACGGGTGAAAACCAAAATTAGTTTGGCGTGTTAAATGAAGGCAACTATCCAAATTTACTAGAATTGCTATCAAAAGGGATCGAAAACTAAAATGATTGGTTATGCGGGTGGGTATATTGAACGAACATTGTTCATGAAACCATTTCCCTTTGTCTTTTCTTGCTTATTTTTTAAAAGGTTACAATGTTCTTGCAATCCCGAGGGTATTTTCTAACAGATTAGAACATTAACTTAACCTTGTTATTTTCAGTTTTAACGGGAACAGTTCCACTAGAATTAGACCCTGAAAACAGAGTGTCCTACGACCGAGAGAAAAGATAGAAAGGAGAGTCCTGTCACTCGGCAGTTCAATTTAAAAGCATAAACATTGTGAATGTTCTCATTACCCTTCAAGTCACCGACCGCAAGCCATCGAAAACGAAACTATTGTATAGGAATAATGCTAAAAATAACGATCAAACTTTCTTGAAAAAAACGAGGACAAATGCGTTTATGAACTTCGGAATACCAAAAGTGTGGTCGAAATTTGATTTGTCCTTGTGCGGCTGTCGATTATATGTTCTTGCCTGTTCATCTCTCCAATGTTCATCTGGCTTGTGTTTTCAAAAAATAATTTTATTTTGATAGAGTAAGTACTGGCGAGTTCTAAAATCTCCAGTCAAAGAATGGCATTTCATTCAATTTTTTCATAAACGATCTACAGATACTGACAGGAGATCGAAAATGCTTAGTATGAAAAGGACAACAACTCTCATCAACAAAGGGTGCAGAGGACAAATCGCAAAGAAGCTGCGTGTTACGGGCCCCACGGGATGATTGACTGAAGTAAGCAAGTTGGAAAGGCGGTTTTGGCGGTCAAAGAGACAACGACGGATAACGATATTGCCATAACCCAAAGACGGAAGCTCAAATCTTTCGTCATAACCGAAAACGGAATTTCAAGGATCGACTTAAAGCCAGGTTTCATCAATTTCCGAATAAAAATATTTGGGGAGTTGCACTTTGCTTGTATCAAACCTTTTCTGTTTCCATAAAATCTGATTACCAGTTTGTTTGTTTGTTTGTTTTTGTCTTTTTTTCTTTAATTGATCTGCAAATTAGGAAACGTGGCCATTGATTTAACATATAGATGCTGAGCGGCAGACCAACGGTGGTTTTGAATTATTTTTTTTTATCTCCCACCCAGTTCAAACTCTTCTTTTTCATCAATTTCTTGCGGTCCTCTTTTTTCTTTGCCCGAAAATTCACGAAGCAATGTCATCGAGTCACTCAAGACCGAGCTGAACTCTAATACACATAGTTAACATTCAATTAAGACGATATTTCTTTCTCAACGAGAAAAAATGCAGTTTTAGGGAAATGTTTTTATTTTTTTCACTAGGGAAATTATCCTATATTTTTCTAGCCAATCGCTCGTTGGAAGCCACTAGTTTTATTCCAACCAGTAGAGCAAAATGATGTTCGACATTCGGAACACAACTTAAAAGGAGAGAATTGAGAAATTTGCCTCTGTTAGAGTCCAAAGCAGCGAGGAAGCCGTAGGCAACATCAGCGAGCAAAAATAGATTGAACAAACAAACAGACAAAAAAAAAAGAAAAAGAACGTTCATGGACACTGGAGTCACTGGAATATTAGGGACCTTAGGCAGTGAGGACGGCAACGCCAAGGAAGACTTCGATTAAAAAATAAATTTTTGCCTTCAATCAGAATTTCAAAAATGGCTGCATTTGTTCACGGTCTCATATGGCGCCACACCTCAACTTCAGCATAACGTATAAAAGAAACGTTGAGCTCCAGACGGAAATTAAAATAATTTCCGTCGTGGTCTCGGTTCGCAGGCGACGCAAATTGTGGTGATTTCACGTTGTTGTTTTACAGAGGACGGCTAAGAAATGTACAAAGTTTTAAAACGCACGTGCTGCGCTATTGTTCATACAATTAGATCTTTTGTTTTTCCATGTCCTCGTTGCCGTCGCCGTCGTGGTTTGCTTAAGGTCCCTAATTTGTATGAGGTTGCGGCTATCGGACACAATTAACTGTTTTTGCCGATTCATGTCCTAAGTTGATGTTTATTTACATAAATTCAATGCGATACCATAGTGGCGTGTGCTATAAAGCATGAAAAACATTATAAACACCATGATAGAGTTTATACTGACTAGCTCTTTAAACTTGAAGTCAAACAATAGTAATTTTAACTTCTGTTGTATACTCACAGCTCGTCCAAAGAAAAGTGGTTAGGATAAGGATTACCACCGCCATCTTTAGCTGATAAAGGCTTGGCCTGAATATCCTTTTCAGTTTGTTAGAAGCCAGCAGACAGATGAGTGCACAAGGCAAGGATTGTATGATGGCCTAATCGGGAACTCTCCTTCCCTGAGACGGTCGCGTAACTCTATTGTTCTAGCCGAGAGCGGATGTTCAAAACTCTGCAATCATTGAAAGGAAAATTCCAAAGTTTGAAAAAAAGCCACTTTGAATCAATTTCCAATAGAACATAGGCTAATCATGAGTGAAAATTGCATTATAGGTTTCGAACGTGGCCGATGCAGAAAATCATTGATGGTCTTAAAAACTTCAGTCACTCCCTTCTTTGCTGCAAAAGTTCTCTAAACTAGACTAAAGAGTGTATCAGGAGAAATATTAATACTAAGTTCATCTGTAACACACCTTTTTGAGATTTTGTAATTTTCCAAAAATGGGTTGATGGTTTTCCGGGAATACTTCGAACAAACGATTTCCAAGAGGAATCCATATTCTCGAATCGATTCCTCTTCGGAAAGCGCAAAAAGACCATGCATACCGACCGTTTGACGGGATAGCATGATTATTTTATGTCCCAGTGTTTATGTCTTTATAATGGTTTTTTCGAAACTTTCCTGCATGACGACAAAAGTGAAGAATCAGTCGAAAAACCGATGAAGATAATCTATACGATCGAATAAAAGCTCCATTAACAAGTAGTGTTTACTGTTACATCCACCTCCCACCTCTCCCTGCCTAGCAATAGTCCTTTTCTCTCAATATGGATTCCCCCTCCCTATTATTTTAATAACACTGGCAGTTTGCCTTCCATGACGACCCTCGAAAAACCCTGAGTAGCTCCTAGTAGACTGCATCCCACCCCTACCTGAGTACTAATGGTGTGCTTCCACCGATAAAATAGTCCAAAAAATGGTCCAAAAAATAGTCCAAAAATAGTCCAAAAAAATGGTCCAAAAAATGGTCCAGTCCATATTTTACCCTATGCCCATTGGAACTATATTTCTTTGTTTGACTTCTGAAATTTTGCCTTGAAACAGGGACAAATGAGATAATCAACCTCAAAATACATAAAGCGCAACACATATCGAAAGACTTTCACTTGCAATGCACCACCAGTATTTCTCAAGAGTAAAACAATTCAGAAGTGAAACCGGAAACTGTCATTTTACATCATTCCACTCATTCTTGAGCATAATTTGTTTGTTTTGTGAATTTTCGGCATGTAACGAGTAGAACCACATCTAAAAAACATACAAAACATATAAGATAATGTAAAGGTCGATATAAATACAACTATCGTTTTAAAAATAAAAGATTTTATTTTGATTTAGTTCGGACGCACACTGCGTCATTCGATCTGTCATCGGCTGATAATTTAGGCCGTTGCGTTCTCACTTCATCGAAGATTATTTTCTCTGTCGCTTGAAAATCACGTTTGATCACAAAATATATTGCTTTTCATTCACAAAGATACATTTACAGGTTTGTTTCAAGGCAAAAATCAAGGATTCGTGCGCGAAAAGTAAAAGTAGATGTTTCAACACCACATGCGTCACGCATTTAAATATCGCAAGAATGTTTACAGATTACTTACCTCGATTCTTCGCTAGGATTTTCCAGTTTTCTATCTAATTCGGATTCCTCACCACTAGAGATACCACCATGCTCACTTCCATCGTCAAAAATCATCTCTAAAGCCTTAGCTACGCTGTATCTCTACAGATTAGCTTGTTCAGCGAGGTCGTTCAACGATATTCCGGCGATGAAAAAGTCATCTGCTGACTAGCTCCGCTGACTAAATTCATTTAGTCAGTCCACGCGCACGACCAGAGACTGGAGCCATTCCTGTATTTCACCGCAGACAGGAATAGCTCCGACTCAAACGTTTAATAATTTTTTTTCAATAATTTTTAAGTAATTTTTAAACAGTTTTTGAAAATAAAATTTAAAACTAAACTAGTGAGCAGCGCTGTGCGAACAGTAGTTTTAAAACAGATGAAGAGCCCAATGAATGGATTTGTCCTTCATGTGAACAATAACCTAGAAAATCAGTTTTCCACGAAAAAAAAACTCCCTCGATTGTGGCCAAGCCATATTTCTCCAGCAGAGCATACTGTAAATTAAAAACATCTGTTGCAGCGTCACGCAACATTGCGTGATTTTCCAAACGTGAGATGCAGTTGCTGCATTATTTTAAAACTTAGGAACTACATAGCCCTGTAGTAAGAAAAGAGGGCTTCACTTGCAAGCACTGTAGACTTCAACTTTAGAGGAACCTAATAAATCGCCCTTTCAGTTTTTATCTCAGTGTATGAATTATTTAGCCGGAACGAAAAAAAAATTAACATACGCATGAGTTGGAGCCATTCCTGTCTGCGGTGAAATACACGAATGGCTCCAGTCTCTGGTCGTTCGCCTAAACTGACTAAATGAGTTTTGTCAGCTGAGCTTGT